TTGTACATAATATTACTACTACTAGTGCTACTGCTAGTACTAGTATTATTAGTTGTACATATTAATATGTACTACTAGTACTAGTATAAGTAGGACTATTATGTACTAGTAGTATGTACTTCTTCGAGTTGTACGAGTATTACTAGTAGTACATACTACTACCAAGAGTACTAGTAGAACTAGTTCTGCATGTACTCGTAGTATGTACTAGAAGTACACACTAGTAGTATTAGTATCTATACTAGTAGTACATACTAGTACTAATTATACTTACTAGTATGTATTACAAGTATGTACGAGAATACATACTTGGAGTATTAGTGGTAGATACTAGTATGTACAAGTAGTAGTAGCAGTAGTATGTACTAGTAGTTCTAGTATTACTAGTAGTACCTACTACTACGAGTGGTACTAGTAGTACTTGTACTACTACGAGTAGTACGAGCACTGCAACTACTGGTAGTAGTAGAACATGTACTAGTAGTAGTATTAGTAGTTTGTACTAGTACAACTACTACTAGTACAAATTATTAGTACATACAAGTAGTACAAGTAGTATAGACAGGTAGTACAAACTACTGCTAGTAGTACTAGTAGAACTAGTTCTACATGTACTACTAGTATCTACTAGCAGTACATAATAGTAGTATTAATACTAATACTAGTAGTATTAGTACTAGCACTAGAACTACTGATTTTATTAGTAGTACATAGTAGTACTAATAGTACTTACTCGAATGTACTACAAGTATGTACTAGAATACATACTTGCAGTATTAGTAGTACATACTAGTATGTACTAGTAGTAGTAGTAGTAGTATTACGTACTAGTAGTTTTAGTATTACTAGTAGTATTTACTACTACTTCAAGTACTAGTAGTACTTGAAGTACTACGAGTAGTACTAGTAGTACAACTACTGATAGTAGTAGTACATTAACTAGTAGTAGTACTAGTAGTATGTACTTGTACAACTACTAGTAGTACATATTATTAGTACATATTAGTAGTACTAGTTGTATAGAAAAGTAGTACATACTAATATATACTACCCGTACTAGTATATAATATTTCTACTACAGTTAGTATTAGTATTATTAATAGTACGTACTAGTATGTACTACTAGTACTAGTATTAGTAGTACTATTATGTACTAGTAGTACTAGCACTACTAGTACATACTTGTACTAAGAGTGTTATTAGTACTAGTATGTACTAGTTGTGCTAGTAGTACTAGTAGTACTAGTAGTACTTGTGCTACTACGAGTAGTACTAGTAGTACTTGTGCTACTACGAGTAGTACTAGTAGTACTTGTGCTACTACGAGTAGTACTAGTAGTACTTGTGCTACTACGAGTAGTACTAGTAGTACTGGTACTACTACGAGTAGTACGAGTATTACTAGTAGTACATACTACTATTAGTAATATTAGTAGAACTAGTTCTATATGTACTCTAGTATGTACTAGCAGTACATACTAGTAGTATTAGTACTAGTACTAAAAGTAGTAATTCCCCTGATAGTACATACTAGTACTAATTGTACTTATTAGTATGTACTACAATTATGTACTAGAATACATACTTGGTGTATTAGTAGCACATACTGGTATGTACTAGAAGTGGTAGAAGTAGTATGTACTAGTAGTAGTAGAAGTAGTATGTACTAGTAGTGCTAGTATTACTAGCAGTACTTACTACTATGAGTAGTACTAGTAGTACTTGTACTACTACCAGTAGTAGTAGAAGTACTTGTACTACAACAAGTAGAACGAGTACTACAACTACTGGTATAATAGTACTTGAAGTAGTAGTAGTACTAGTAATATGTACAAGTACAACTACTAATAGTACATATTAATATTACATACTAGTAGTACTAGTGGTATAGACAACTAGTACATACTAATATATACTACCCAAACTAGTACATAATATTACTACTACTAGTACTACTGCTAGTACTAGTATTACTAGTAGTACATACCAGAACGTACTACTAGTACTAGTATTAGTAGTATTAATATGTACTACTAGTATGTACTACTAGTACTAGCACTACTAGTACGAGTACTACAACTTCTAGTAGTAGTACATGTACTAGTAATAATACTAGTAATATGAACTAGTACAACTACTAATAGTACATATTGTTAGTACATACTTGTAGTACTAGTACTTATACTAGTAGTATTAGTACTAGTACTAAAAGTACTAATTCTACTAATAGTACATACTAGTACTAATGGTACTTACTAGTATGTAGTACAAGTATGTACTAGAATACATACTTGGAGTATTAGTAGGACATACTAGTATGTACTAGTAGTAATAATACTAGTATTTATCAGAAGAGCTAGTATTACTAGTAGTACTTCTTACTACGAGTAGTACTAGTAGTACTTTTACTACTACGAGTAGTACTAGTAGTACTGGTACTACTAAGAGTAGTACGAGTACTACAACTACTGATAGTAGTAGTACATGTACTAGTAGTAGTACTAGTAGTATGTACTACTACAACTACTACTAGTACATATTATTAATACATACTAGTAGTACTAGTAGTATAGACAAATAGTACATACTAATATGTACTACACGTACTAGTACATAATATTACAACTACTAGTACTACTGTAGTACTAGTATTACTAGTAGTACAAACTAGTATGTACTACTAGTACTTGTACTAGAAGTCTTATTATGTATTAGTAGTATGTACTACTAGTACTACAACTACTGGTACATACAAGTACTAGTAGTGTTATTAGTACTAGTATGTACTAGTAGTTCAAGTATTACTAGTAGTACTTACTACTACGAGTAGTACTAATTGTACTTGTACTACTACGAGTAGTACTAGTTGTACTAGTACTACTACGAGTAGTACGAGTATCACTAGTAGTACATACTACTACTAGTAGTACTAGTATAACTAGTTCTACATGTACTACTAGTATGTACTAGCAATACATGCTAGTAGTATTTGTACTAATACTAGTAGTATTAGTACTAGTACTAGAAGTACTAATTCTCTTAGTAGTACATACTAGTACTAATAATAATTAATGGTATGTACTACAAGTATGTACTAGAATCATACATGGAGTATTAGTAGTACATTCTAGTATGTACAAGTAGTAGTAGTATTTACTAGTTCTGCTAGTATTACTAGTAGTACTTACTACTACGAGTAGTACCTGTAGTACTTGTACTATTAGGAGTAGTAGTACTAGTACTTGTATTACTACGAGAAGTACGAGTACCACAACTACTGGTAGTAGTAGTACATGTACTAGTAGTATGTACTAGTACAACTACTACTAGTACATATTATTAGTACATACTGATAATCCTAGTAGTATAGACAAGTAGTGCATATTAATATGTACTACCCGTACTAGTATGTACTACTACTAGTACTACTGCTAGTACTATTATTACTAGTAGTACATACTAGTACTAGTATTTGTAGTACTATTATGTACTAGTAGTACTTATACTACTACGAGTAGTACTAGTAGTACTTATACTACTACGAGTAGTACGAGTATTACTAGTAGTACGCACTACTACTAGTAGTACTAGTATAACTAGTTCTACATGTACTATTAGTAAGTACTAGCAGTACATACTAGTAGTATTAGTACTAATTCTAGTAGTATTAGTATTAGTACTAGAAGTACTAATTCTACTTGTAGTACATACTAGTACTAATAATACTTACTGGTATGTACTACATGTATGTACTAGAATACAAACATGGAGTGTTAGTAGTACATACTAGTATGAACTAGTAGTAGTAGTATTTACTAGTAGTGCGAGTATTACTAGTAGTAGTTACTACTACGAGTAGTACCTGTAGTACTTGTACTACTACGAGCACAACTAGTAGTACTTGTACTACGACGAGTAGTACGAGTACTACAACTATTGACAGTAGTAGTACATGTACTAGTAGTACATGTACTAGTAGTACTAGTAGTAGTACTAGTAGTATGTACTAGTAAACCTACTATTAGCATATATTGTTAGTACATACTACTAGTACTAGTAGTATAGAAAAATTGTACGTACAAATATATACTACCCGTACTAGTACATTATATTACTACTACTAGTACTACTGTGAGTACTAGTATTACTAGTTGTACATATTAGTATGTACTACTAGTACTAGTATAAGTAGGACTATTATGTACTAGAAGTATGTATTTCTCCGAGTTGTACGAGTATTACTAGTAGTACATACTACTACTAATAGTACTAGAAAAACTAGTTCTGCATGTACTACTAGTATGTACTAGCAGAACATGTTAGTAGTAATAGTACTAATACTAGTAGTACATACTAGTACAAATGGTACTTACTACGAGTAGTACGAGTACTACTACTACTGGTAGTCGTAGTACTTGAACTAGTAGTAGTACTAGTAAATGTACTAGTACAACTACTAATAGTACATATTATTGGAATTTTCGAGAACAACGGGACTCGAACCCGCGCTCCTTGGCGTGACAGGCCAATACTTTTACCAACTAAGCTATGTTCTCAATATGGTGCATAACTTCGTTATGCACACTACCTTTCAGCCAGTACCCAGTACCCCGTAGGGGTAAGGGGTAAGGGGTAGGGGCTTGCGAAGCTGAGGGGTATGGGTTGCAAAGATAAGATGTTTATTACGGCTAGCCCACATTCATGTTGTTCCCTTTGTTTTCTTGCTTGACATATTTAATTAAATGTTGCTCAAAAAGTACACTAATAAGTGAAGATTCTGCTTAACATGCCCACCTCGAATTAGTACAACAGAATGCTCCTGCAAGTTATGACCTTCTCCAGGTATGGAAGCGATAACCTCGTTAGAATTTGTAAGACGAACTTTGACTACCTTACGAAGAGCCGAATTAGGCTTTTTAGGGGTTTTTGTATATACCCTAGTACATACACCTTGTTTTTGCGGTGATTTGTCAAGTTCTGGTTTAGAAATCTTGCGTCTTTTTTTCTTCCTACCTTTCTTTTTTCGTAAGAGTTGGCTTGGTGTTGGCATAAGCTTTTTTTATTGAAAAACGTTGTGGTACCAGCGATACCAGCTTCGCTGGTTTGTTGGCGCAGCAGCTCTTCTTTAATATATATACTAGCTCTACAATACTGCTAAAGCGACCCTTTTTTTACGGCATCTACACAAATATAATAACTATGTTTTATACATTCCGTGATGGCCAATTACAGACCACTATAGAAAAGACATTTCAACCCTTTTTATTTGTGAACGATTTTCAAGCAATTATACCATAAAGTTTTCTTGTTTTAGCCTCGCTTATTCTTTTAGTTTATGGTGTTAGATATAGCGGACGCAAGCAGAGCAACTATCCGGTCTTGATTAACAACTTGTGCAAGCAAGGCTTGCTTAGCTTATTTTTCACTATAATCTTACTTAATAACAGTCCTTTGAATAAAGGTACTCTTTTCTATAATAGCTTAGTTATAGACGATTTTACTCTGTTCTTGAAAACATTACTTTTAATTGGAGCTTTCTTCTCAGTGTTGATTTATATGGAATATGTACAGCAGGAGAGCTTGAATTCTTTTGAGATGATTGTTTTAGTATTATTGTCTACAGCTAGTATGCTTTTCCTCGTTTCGTCCGCAGATTGAATTTCAATGTATTGCCGCTATTGAGCTACAAAGCTTATGCTTTTACGTAATGGCAGCTTTAAAGCGAAACTCGGAGTTTTCAACTGAAGCAGGACTAAAATCTTTCTTATTAGGTGCTTTTTCTTCCGGCATTCTTTTATTTGGATGCTCTTTAATTGTAGGCTTTACTGGAGTAACAAATTTCTCTGAGTTAGCTAAGATTTTCACCTGTAATGGGGCTTTTAGGTATATCTTCTTTACTTGTGTATTGGGAATGATTTTTATTCTAGTAGCTTTCTTATTTAAGCTTACAGCTGTACCTTTTCACATGTGGGCGCCTGATGTGTATGAGGGAGCTCCAACATCTGTTACCGCCTTTTTCTCAATTGTACCTAAAGTTTCCGTTTTAGCTGTTTTTATACGATTCTTTTTTTAAGGCTTTTATGATCTTATGTTGCCATGGCAACATATTCTCCTTTTTTGCAGTATAGCTTCTATGCTTTTAGGGGCACTTGCAGCCTTGTCACAAAAGAAAATTCAACGACTACTCGCCTTTAGCTCTATAGGACATGTTGGCTATTTGCTAATAGGTTTTTGTTGTGGTAC